CATATGAGTGTTTTTTCATATGAGCCAAAATTTATAGTTCCAAATTGCAAAATGCAGTCCATATGAGCCTTCAGGCGTTGCCAAACTTCCTTTGATACAACACGAATTTTCAAGTAAACTTATGAATATTTACCTTTCAATTTCTCAGAAAAATTTGCTAGCACTTTCACCTAGAATTCCTGAAAATTACAAGGAGAAATATTCATAATCCTCAACACAGCATCAAAAAATGAACAATGTTCGCAAACCTCGAGCGAAATTCAACGGTTTACCTTTGGAAATGGATCCTTGCAAAGAATTATAATGATTTTTTACTGAAAAAGTAGAAAAATACCAACGGAACTCATCGGGCAAACCTGACTACCGGCCACTAAGAAAAACTGCACTAGAAAAAAAAAGTCGCTTGGATCCAGAGTCAAGACTCATAAAAACATTGACAAGAAAAAACTATCTTGATTCAATCGGATTTTTTGCTTGAATCAAAAGGAAATCAACCTAAATCGAGACGCTCGGCTCTTCGATTTAAGGAAAAATCGGGTTGAATCAAGAACATTTTTCCTTGTCAATGTTATTGAGAGTCTGCACTCTAGATCCAAGCGACTTTTCTTCCAGTGTGACCGCATTCGCGGTAAATTTGAAAAAAAAAATGTTACAAACTACGCAGATTGCGCGCTAAGGAATGGATCCCAGACTTTTTCGATGTGCCAAACGTGATTTTTGAGCGAATTTTCTCTTTAAAGGTGTGTTCCAGTTGGCTGTATCTCTTGCTTGCAACATACCCATCAAAAGACCAATAAAGAAACAACCACATAAAACCCCAATACGAGTATTGATTCAGGATCAAAATGAAAGACTATGCTGCCGTGCTAAGGAAGAACGCCGTATGAACATTCGAGAGTTGCCAAATTTCCTCTTCAGAAAATAGTCATTTTTGAAGAAAGTTATGAATATTTTTCCTTGAGATTTTCAGGACCTTTAGGTGAAATTGCGAACAAAATGATCTAAAAAATTGAAGGAAAAATACTTACAAATTTTCCAGAAAATTCGTGATTTACTGGAGGAAATAAGGCAACGCCTAATGGTTCATACGGCGTTCTTCCTTAGCATGGCAGTATGGTGCGTATCTCGCGACGGCTGGCGAGGAAGTTCAGTCTGCGGTGATTACGTAGCACGTGCGGTCGGATCTGCGATTACAGAAGCATCAACGGCCCCTTGAACTTGAAATCCCGCGTAGACGCGCCACGCGCCGTTGCCAGCCGTCTACGCTCATTCAGACCTCACATTTACTCTACGGGCTACTCAATACTCATTCATGCAGAATTTCTCGACACCAACGATGGCAAAAGTCACCCCACGGGAGTGATTTTGATTTTCTCCTTCTTCTGCTGGTTATTTGGACCGCGTTAAGCAGAAGGGAACCAAGCCACATTGGTTATTGCCATTTGAGCGGGCAACTTAATTTTTTACATAAAAACGGTTGCGGTAACTCGAGGTTTCAAAATAGCTTCTTAGTGGTAACCTACCCTAACTTCGGAGACTTTAACGCATGGTTAGGAAAACAAATTTAAAACCAGATTTTTTAACGAGCCTTAAAAATGGTTGGGTTTAAAACTATTTTGACCAAAGCTAGTTACTTTTTATAGCTGTGCATCACAAATGCCACAATAATTTTAACCATGGCCTCTGGCTTCTCTGAAGCTACGATCCAGGTATTGAGTATTCAGGATCTAAGACATGCGCAGGACCACCTTCAGTGGCATGGCGTGCTTTGGGATATATCGATTGATCTGCTATTTAAACCTACGGGAAAGAATCGAGTAACAGGATGTTCGCGACGAACACCTCAATAATCGATTCTTTACCACAGCTTCAAATGGGGAAACACCGATAATCGATCATGCATGACTCGCCACTGACCACAATATAGTAACTGATAATAGTGACACACGGAACAAAACTTAGGTAGCATTTACCATATGCACGTTAATAAACGACACAACCAGAGAGTATGGTAACTTTTATCAAAATTATCGTGAAAATAATAAGATTTTTCCTTATTATGACAATAATTTTGGTGGAAGTTACCATACTGTCCGGTTGTGCCGTTTTTTAACCAGTGTACGGTAAATGCTACACTGGAAAAAAAACACATTGGATCTAGAGTGCAGACTCTTGAAAACATTGACAAGAAAAAATACTCTTGATTCAATCGGATTTTTGTTTGAATCAAAACGAAATCCGCTTAAGCTAAGAGGCTTGGTCCTTGATTTAAGCTAGATTCTGATTGAATCAAGAGTAATTTTTCTTGTCGATGTTTTTAAGAGTCTGGACTCTAGATCCAATTTGTTTTTTTATCCAAAGTACCCAACTTTTTAGTCCGTGATAATAAAAAAATGACCAGATTTGACAACAACGAAACGAAGTCTATAAGAGATTAGTTGAACTCCAACTCTAATGAGGATGACAATCGACTTCAGTTTTTTTGAGAATAAACGCTGATGCGTAAAGCTGAACAACCCGATTAGTCAAGGGCACGAGGTATATTTCCTTCCTCTCGCGCGGACCAAAATCGCGGACTATCACCAACCGCCAAACCGGAAAACATTAAACGATATTGGTCAGTGTGTCATCCATTAACCAAGAGGATTAAACGGCGATAGAGGTCCGTAAAATCATTTCAGAGGACACATTTTCAAAATTATTCTTTCCTCTTGAAATTCAGGACCAAAATTCGATAGGATGTTTCCTTCCTTAGGAGGAAAAATAAACGGACGGATTCTCATCGCTAAACCGGGAAAAATTAGACGATATTGGATATTTTGTCTCTAACAAGGCGCTGAGATTAGCCGAAGATGCTATTTTGAAGGTTCATCATTCATACTGGAGGCCACATTTTCAAAATATCATCCGTCTCGAAATTTTAAATGCCTCATTTTCCGTCAACAGCTTGAGGTGTATTTTCCCCCATCGCACATTGAAAAAAATCCTTGGTATGGACTGCTTGGCTAAATGAATCAGTGAGAGCGAAAACACACAAACTCAGAAAAATGAAAATAATTAAGGCATACACATAACTGCACAGTAGATGAAGAATTTAGTCCAAGAAAAAGATTTTTGGTGCCGAAAGACAAGTACTACAGGACATTTTAAAGGTCCAAGATGGAACAGATGCGCTAACTTCAATGACCTTTATAAAAACTGACTGTCTCCAATGAAAATGTAACAGTTTCGACTTATCGAGTCGGTGCGTTTTCGTTCTCACTGATTCAAATGTGATATTTGAGAAATCTAGTAGCAAGTTACAAGACTCCTTGTAATATTTACTATGCCACTAGTAGATAATCTAAACGTATGTCTATAGCCCTGTCAGATATGTCTTGGTGGTATGCTGGTTCCTCCTTTTCTGGGATGTCATGACGAGGCATACAGTCTTGTAAAAAGCTTTACTTTATTCAAGTAAAATGTCAAGTTTTTAGAGATCACAGAGGGAAATAGATAGAAATACTCTGTCTAAAAATGCATTTTAAAAATTAAAACTGCAAGGATTTGTTTGCCTTTGTATTTGAACCGCGTGGATTTCACGAAGATCAATGTGACTTTAAATACTTGAAACGCTATATTGATTCAAGGGAACTGAAGTTGTGAACTTACGTTGATGTGAACTTAAAATCTCAATTAAGAAATAGATCCAGCGAAACTGACCTGGAACAGACAAAAAATAAATTTATAAATATTAACATCTTTAAGGCTCTTCAAATTATGTTCCGAATGATAAAAAAACACCTAATTTTCATCGAATACAATCAACTTTCCGAGCAGACTTGTCCTTGATTTACAAGAGAAAACACTTTCAAACAAATCGGGATCAATTCAAGGAAAATTGTCCTTGGTCAATTACTTTTTTTCCAGAATAGCAGAGGTTCATTTTGTCCTACAACACTGATTAATAAAGTCGATGTCCTTGGTTGAGCATTTTATCCTATTTTTGCGTCTTTGAAAAAAAAATTCTACATTTCTAGCATTTTAGACCAACATTAGTTCTTGGGTATAATGAAATCGCATCATCAATAGATTCTGAAACACTGTTGCAAATTGGATGTTTTTACACAAGCCGCGTCAATGAAGATGCCTCGCGTTATGTTGAACTGGGACCAAAACCACAAAAAAATAACGTCGCTTCTCTAAAACAAGGGCTTAACTGTATTTGATGATGGGCTCTATTCTTCATTGGAGTCCATAATTCCAGGGTTCATGTAAAAATTGAGTGACGCTCTTACGTCGGAAAAGCAACGAGATATAACAAGGCTCTCCTGGTCCAATAATGTGTTCATCTAATAAGGATGAGTTTAAATTTTGGGGAGTAAATTGTGGAAAATCACAAGAGTTAATATTCTGAATCTAAATTACTATTCCAGTAATGCTGGTAATAAGTATATGGAACCGGCTCAGTAGACCAGTGGCGTGGCATGCTTTGCGATATATCGACTGATCTGCTATTTGAAATTATGGAAAAGGATCGATCTGTGTTCACGATGAACACCTCATAGTCGATTCTTTTCCACATTTCAAATAGGGAAACGTCGATAATCCATCATTCACGCCTCGCCACTGCAATAAACCACACACTGAAAAAAAAAAAAAGAAAAAAACATTGGATCTAGAGTCCAGACTCTTGAAAACATTGACAAGAAAAAATACTCTCAATTCAATCGGATTTTTCCTTGAATCAAAACGAAATCCTCTTAAATTAAGAGGCTTGGTTCTTGATTTAAGCTAGATTCTGATTGAATCAAGAGTACTTTTTCTTGTCGATGTTTTTAAGAGTCTGGACTCTAGATCCAATGTGTTTTTTTTTTTTTTTTTTTTTTTTTTTTTTTTTTTTTTTCAGTGCACGTAAACTGTGTTTTATATGTTGGTGAACAACTGACACATCTCCTAAAGTCAAGAAGATGCTAGTAACTTACATTTAGTGATTTTATTTCTGTTTTTTCCCGTTTCAGATTGCGTTTTGTCGGAGTTGCCGGGGAATTCAAATAACAGTAAGTCGAACTTTACGAGTATCTTAACATTTTTGATAAGAGGGGGCTTCTTCTCTGGGCCTTGGCTGTCCTACCCAGTCAAAGGCGAGACGGAAATAATCGATAATCGATAGTTCCCCATTTGAAGCTATGGTAAAGAATTGATTATTAAGGTGTTCATTGCGAGCACCCTGTCTATCGATCCTTTTCCACGGGTTTAAAAGGCAGATCAATCGATATATCGCAAAGCAAGTCACGCCACTGTATATACCCAATACACCGAGAATGCAAGAAATTATCCTTTTGGCCCCCTGATGACGTCATGTCATGGCTTGACAATTTAGCTGCCTGCCACGTGCCTACTGTGCCAGGGCACCCCATAAAATAAGTGATAAAGTTACGTAAAGGTTCGACTAATGATCAATCAAAGCGATACAATACAAGGGATCGCGCGGCAAAAAATAATAATTACAGATAATCACCGGCTCCTCACTCGATACTCGGACGCCTCCTGCGTCAAACACTAGCACTGCCGTGCTGAGGAAAAACGCCGTATGAGCGTTTAGGCGTTGCAAAATTTCCTTTGATTAATCACGAATTTTTGAGAATATTTATATACATTTTTCGTTCGATTTTTTAGGGAATTTCGTTCGTAATTTGATCTAAATAGTCTGCAAATATAAAGAAAAAATATTGATAACATCTCTCAAAATTAAACATTTTATCGAAGGAACTTTGGCAACTCTCGAATGCTCATACGGCGTTCTTCCTTCGCACGGCAAGGCAGGTAACCGATAATATAGGGTAATAGTGGCTCCGGAACATTAAGGGGATAGACGGAGCTATCGCCACGAATGGCACACGCATACGAATACAGAAATGAGGAGCTTCTGCTTTGAAAGTGTGCAATTCTGCCGTGCTAATAAGGAAAAACGCCGTATGAACCTCCATGGGTTGCCAAATTTCCCCAAATAAAACATGTATTCTTGGGGAAATTAATGCATATTTGCCCTTGAAATTTTCAGATATTTTAGATTAAATTGCGAACAAAATTGTCTGAAAAATTTGAAGGAAAATATTCACAATTTTCGGAGTAAATTCGTTTTGTATTGGAGGTAATATGACATCGCCTGAAGGCTCAAACGGTGTTCTATCTTCGCACGGCAGAATTATACATACGTGCGAGGAAACACGTAGGGTTATTAGTTTTGGTTTACGATGTAATTTTCTTGGGAAGAGTGAGAAGTTTTCATGGATTTAAAAATACAGGGGAAAAAATTCTTAAATTTTCCGCAAAGGAATGTTTCTGCTTGTATCAAGAATGATGCTCCTTGATTTAGACCACTTTTCCCCTTAATCCAGGCATTTGTTTGGGAAAAAAGATATTAAGTGCTTAACTTCGGTGAGTAGACGAGAACCGGTGCTTTCATCGTGGTATGGCCGTTGACGTATCGAGATGATGACTTTCACCGTGATGAGACGTCGCGTCGCGGCGCGGCTCGCGGCAACATCCCACTTAATCCTAATGAAATATTTGTTTTAAACCAGATTAAAAGAAAAAATATTAAAATATGAGTAAAAGTTTGTGAAATACTAAGAGAATGTTTCCCATCAAACTTATCACGCATGTTCAGAATTTAAAGTCGTGCGATAGAAATAAAACTTCATGCCCTCCATTGACTTTAACGCGTAAATAACCGCTTGAATCGTCTCCTTTCGAGATTTCAATCAAAAACCGTTATACTGACAAAAATGATCTTTTTAACTCCGATACTGTTGCAACTTAAACAACCTCTCATTCAAATTCTAAAAGACACTTTAAAATATAAACAAATCGTCGATTTTCGGACCTAGGCACGTAACTCCATTCCAAGATTGCAAAACTGACTCAATCATTTTAATATTTTACAAGGATGTATCCGTGCGATTTTCGTCCAAAATTTTTCAGATTTTCGCTGACGGTCAGAAAAAAAACCGGTAAAATTTTTTGTAACAAATGCTGAGGATTCTCCTGGTAAACTTGCGATTGGTGCGGGGAAATTTGGCAACATTGAAATTAAGTTACGTTCTTACGTGAAGGAAACGACGAAATGTACTATGATTGTGGATCAGACGCACTAAAAGAACCAGAAAAGATGGGGAGCGAACCTCTCTACTTTCTTACTCCCGCGTTCAAGTCACTTAAAGGCGTGCACGCAAACAAAACTATTTCAAACGAATTTATTGATATCGGTGATTGAAAGTAGAAGATAAATTTGATTGCATTTTGCAAAAAGGAACCAAAAACATTGCAATGATGCTAATATTGCGCATTTTCATCTTTTGCAATACAATAAAATTACCGAAATCATGAAAAAATCTGAAAACATGGTAATTTTTGTCTTCAATTTACAGTTTTTAGCGAGTGAGATAGAAACTGTCAATGGATAATCAGGTTTTTCTCCCGGGACAAAAGAAGTTGCACATAATCTTTGCAACATTGCAATGCTCCTCCTTTTTGCAAAATACAAACCAATTCACAAACATTTTCCGCGGTTCGTTCGCGGTTTTACCACAAACGAATGAAGTCATCGAGCATAATTTCAAAGCGAGGGTCAACATTTTTGGAGATAACATTCATAGGCACATTACTCCATGCCTATTCTCGAGAATTATGATGACTCTTCGGCGACGTTCCAAGCGTGATATGAATTTAAAATCATATGTGAGGAGGAAATTTGGTACGAAAACTGTACCGACTGAGAATTAAGTTAAAGCGAGCAGCCCAGTACGGATCAAATTAAGGCGAGTAGTTTTTCATTCGACTATTTGAAGCGCAGAGACCGAGACAAGCGTTTTAGAGATAATTCATGACGATTGTCTTTAGACAAAGACTTAAAATCATAATCAACAAAAAAGTTTTGCACCGTTAGGAATGAGTAAATAATTGCAAGGCGAAGGAGCTACTTGTAAATTCATATCAGTCATCTAAGAAAATGTCTTTATTCGGCTCTTGAGGAAAATCAGCGGAGGAAAAATAGCTTCACTAATTGATAGGACTTTTTTAAGCATCCGCATTTATACCAGAAGGTTGTTTGCTTTTTTGAAAAGTAGTGACAAAAGGAAAATTGAACTTAAAAAGTGACTGATGTTCATAATTTGCCGCCTAAAAAGTGGACTTTAGTAAGCGGTAGGGGACTATCTAAAATGTACTCCTTTGAAATGCACTTACCTGGACCTACGTGTCGGCAGTTCAGTTCCGCAAACTCACCGAAGTTTGGGAAACTCGTTTGGCTCCTGACGTCACCCGAAGCTCATCATACACCAAGTGGGTAGGTCCGAAGCCGAAAAAAGAGTGATGGCTGTTGCAGGTTGCTCCCTTATATAATCCATAAGCCCTGGATAGACGATCAAATTCCCGAACCAATTCCGATCAAAGTAGCATCAAAGTGTCGGGAGTCATCAGTCTTAAACTCATTAATTTGCTTAATTTTAAAATGAAAACTTGGCAGAAATGTTTCCTGTGGCAGGGAATGATCAATGGTGGCACTCCGTCCTGATGTTACTTTGAACAAAAAAGTGCGGCCTGTCAAAATTTGATGGTAGATGGTGACCACCAGTCATCAGCATGTCTACTTTGATCGAAATTGGTTCGGAATTTGATCGTCTATCCAGAGCTTTAGGTAAGGAAGTATTGAATCCCCGAAGGTAAAAGTTTCCACCTGTCGCGAGGCCAGTGGAGGGTCTCTTGTCTCTGAATATGGTGGGGCGTAGGGACCGGACGGGTCAAAGCTCTGAATCAGCGATGACGCGGGGTTCCCCATGCTCGCGTCATGTCATCTGGGGCCGGGGATGCGGACGTGGTCGCGTGGATAAGATCAGTGTGACCGAGTCCGGTAGCTGCCCGTGCCCGTGGAGGCTGAGGCTGCGGCCGGGTCGCCTTGATCTTGAACCCATTCCAAGCCCGGCGCGCCCGCGCTCCTGTCCACCCGGTTACGGAGTCTGAACCTGAACCTGAACCTCGCGAAACCGCCACCGCACCCACAAATCCAGCGGAAAGTCCAATAGAGGCATTCATCCAGAGATACACTGAAAAAAAAATCTCGGTGTATTTACTAAGAAAAGGGTAAAATTACCAAGAATTCAGGGTTCTACTCGTATTTTATCCCAGTTTTTTCTCGGTAAAATTACCATTTACGGAATTGGTAATTTTGCCGAGAAATCTCGGTAAAATTGTTGAACTTTCTCGGTAATTTTACTGGACCTTGGTAAAAATGCCAATATTTTTTATCGACTGTGGTAAAATCACCGGGATAAAATGGCAAAGTTACCGGGAATTGATTACCAATAAAAGTGGTATTCTTACCTCATATAAACAGTAAAAATACCGGTTTGTAGGTAAGCTTACCAGTCTGTTTTAGTAAAATTACCAATGATAGGTAAAGAAAGTGAGATGGTAAAGGTACCAACGGACCTAAGTAAAAACGCCGAGAATTTTTTTTCAGTGTAAGGAAGTTAAGATGGATCCTCAGCTTCTGCGCGATGTATTTTGGGTGCGATCCGATGGCGTGGCGTGCTGTGCGAGATATCAATTGGATCGCATTTTGATGTAAGGAACCAAGAGCATTCCAATGTTGCTAGGATTGAGCAACTTACATTATTTGCAAAAAAAAAATACTAAAATCATGTAAAAAAATTAAATTTACAAAGGTAATTTTCCTTTTGCATTTATAGTTTATCGGGAGTAAAGATAAAACTTGTTCAGGTGATCAGTTTATAATAAAGTTTATATCTTAGCGACATGGGAATGCACTTGGTTCTTTTTTGCAAAATGCAATCCCATTGATCTGCCATTGGAACCTACAGAAAAGGATCGTTAAACAGGGTGTTCGCAACAAACACCTAAATAAATCGATTCTTTACTACAGCTTCAAATGGGGAAATATCGATAATAATCGATCATTCACGCCTCACTACTGGTACGATCGATATATTTCAAATTCTAACCGTTGGAGAGAGTATTTCGTAAAAATCTCTATATT